TGGAATTTTTTTTTTTTTTTTTTTTTTTTTTTTTCCTTCTTTTTTTTTTTTTTTTTGCTGTTTAACAATTTATACGATTTGTAAGCCTCATGATGGGCCATCGGCCCAAAAGCTTGGTGACAAAAAATTATATGAAACTTGAGTTGATAAATCTGAAGTAATTTGCAAAGATTTCAGTTCATTCTTCCCCTTTCATAACGAACTTATACTCATGTCATCAGCTAATGCCTCAAAAATAAAGATCACGAGGTACACGAGCTGGTGAGTATATGTTGGCGCGCCGATTCCCTGGGAATTCCTTATCTAGGTGCGCAATGCAAAGTAGGTCAAGTTTTTGTTTGTTTGTTGTGACATAAGTACCTGTAGTCGATGTATTGGGTCATGACACGCTGCAGCCGTGTGTAACAAATGAACATACTCCATGTACTCGGCTATTCTTTGAAGAAACGTTAACGGCTCGTTGAAAATAACTGAAAAATAATTGAAAATTGAAATCACAACTAAGATGAGGAGATCTTATTTGGCAAAGAGGGGGTAGCCTCCTCCGCAGGCTACTCCCTATATTCTATATTCTCTGTTGGGATCCCTGTGTTAAATCTTATGGCAGAGAAGAACTAGGAACGAGAGAGAGGAGTGGGGACGAGAGAGGGAGGGAAAAGCGAGTTAGTCCTCCCCTCCCCCTTCCCCCTACGTCTTTTTGTCCTCATCACAGGAAGCCCAAGGAGTAAAAAGAGCCAAGAAGATGCCTGCGGAGGAGGCTTAGAAGGGGTATCATGTGCGGGAAAGACGTCAAGTTTCAACCTAATTAACATACCTGGCATGGTGATTCTCGAAAGATCCTGTAGGAAATAGAAAACATAACGTTTTATCAACAAAAATAATGTCTCATTAGACTGTTAGTTTTACATCCAACCACTAAATAAATATAAATAAATAAATAAACAAATAAAATTATAAATATTAATAATGATAAATAATAAATTAAAATATCCAAGGTGAATGTTGTTTTAACAAATAAAATATCCAAGGTAAACAAGGTGGCAACGACCATTTACATAACACACTTTTTAGCACGTACAGCTCAAACATCATCCAAATCCCCGCCAACGTCCTCCCCGCCTGAGTGTCCGAGAGGAAAGAGAAAAGACTGGACCAAGTTTGGGAGTAGAGGGTAGGGTGGGAAGGGGTGGGGAAGGGGAAAAGTGGACTATTATTAGCAATATTACATTACCTTTCCTATGCAATGTTTAAGTACCGTCCATACACTGAACTCATTTCTAGACAGCATGTTATTAGGTAAATGCGTCCTGAACACAAAGATTAGAATGTCAATACAACAATTCCTCCAAGGTAAAATCAAAATGTTTTGATCTGTTTTCGAAATTATACGAAAGGTGACGTCATAATTTAACTTAAGCGGTAATGACGTTATCATGTACATTGAAATAACGAAAGAAACGGCGGCCGTGTTGGTTGATATAACAAAAGAATTTATCGGCAATTGCCCTATTTCACTATGACGTCACATCAAAACAATCTTTAACAATCTATTGTTTAAACGCAAAGGATCATGGTCGGCGGAGGGGATCAAATCAACGGAAATTCCCCGAAAATTGTTCTAAAACCCGTATCAATTCACAAAGAGAAGTAGAATAGCCAGCAAACGCATATACGAAGAATATTTTTTAGTACATATTAACACATATTATATCTGAAAACCAGGCCATATATGTTTAAGATTAAACTGTTTCGCTAGGAGCAAATTTTGTGGAATTTTCTATTGGATTTGGCGATTCTATCCCCTAGATAAACAAGCAGTGACGTCATAGTGAAATAGGGCAATTCTTCTGTTAAATTCAACTAAGATGGTGGCTATGACGTCATGTGCAAACGAAGAATACAGGACTGGTACGCCCCCTTCTCAAAAGGGTATTCTGGGAACTCTCCAGCTATTCTCTATCATTGAGAATATTACTAACCGATGCTTGTACTGTAAACGTCTCGCCATGTCAGTTTCAGACTCGGATCTCTTTACAATATCCCTTGATTCCGATTTCGACTTCTGCATACTTTCTGTTTGCAAGTCGAACCCCTTTTTGGGCAGCGTGGTATCCGAGCTGCTTCTCGTTAGAGTTGATTTACATATTGATGATGTTCTTTTGTTCGCCAACTCTCCAGATTCGCTTCTTTTGATGACAATAGTAGGTTCCGCCAGGTTTTCAAACTGGTCGGTGCTGGCCACGCTTGGGACATAAATATCGCCATCGTCTTCATCGCTGTCTGATTTGAAATCATCAGGACACGAGAAGGCAAGTTCAGACACTGCGTCAAAGAATTCTTCACTTTCGTCAACTAGTGATATCTTGCTTCCATAAATTCTCTGGGGGAAAAATAATTAAAGAACATGCGTTAAAAAATTCCTTGCATCTCCTCATTTATTCCTATACAACCTCTGGGCTGATCTAAGTCAGGACATGGCTAACTCACAGATCGAACCTTGAAACAACCCCTGGGCTGATTCCCTTACCGAGCATCGAGAGCGTGATGGTCTCTACTTACATCGTTGATTCCTATAGAGCATTCTAGGGCATGGTGCTCTGTTGCCAACACGTGAAGGGCATCCTCAAGGACCCGTCGCTTCTCTACCTCTTCTTCCATATGTAAATTCCTTACCTAATAACATGATCGAAAATTCAAGGTAAGTTTGGTCAAGTAGTTTTTCTCATACATACAGTACAATGATACCTATTAAGCGAGCGCTTCATTATGTTTATGGCTTCCGTTCACACGAGACTGAGCTTTCTGGATCTTTTTCTTTTGAACGAGACTGAGCTATCCAAACCCAAATTCGTACGCCTAGTTGTGCAAATTTGGATCCAGTTTCGTGCAAACAACTGAAATGTATTTGTTATACAACTAGAGAGACGGTTCCGTGGAAGCAGTAGGTATAGATCAAATTGTTGACCGGTTAACAGGGTAAACTGAATCTCTATTCAGTGGGACACCAGGCAAGGTCCAGAAGGTGTCCACTTAATACAGGTACCACTATATTTACTGTAAAACAAACCTCTATTCAGTAGACACCCTTTATTAAGCAGACACCACGTAAGGTCCTGAAGGTGTATGCTTAATACAGGTACCACTGTACTTACTGTAAAACAAACCTCTATTCAGTAGACACCCTTTATTACCCGAAGGTGTCTGCTTAATACAGCTACCACTGTATTTATGTTTTGCTCACTTTAACAATGCTTCCTATGCATGCAGGTATAGGTGGCTTCATTTACTTACATCTTCCTGTTGTATGAGTAGATCCAAGCAATGCGAGAGAACATTGCACATGTCCTTAGATGATGTAACAATCTCGTCGAGTTTGGTTTTGACTTGAATAAGATTTAGAGTAGCTGTAAGAGAAACTATGGATTAGTGTTTGTACGACTGTAAGGCACTCAGTCTACAGTCTGAGGGAGATGTCGTACAGAAAAAACTATAAATTTTATCTAACCCTGAAACAACCTCTGGGCTGATCTAAGTCAGGGCATGGCTTACTCACAGATCGATCCCTTAAACAACCTCTGGGCTGATCTAAGTCAGGGCATGGCTAACTCACAGACAGAACCCTGAAACAACCTCTGGGCTGATCTAAGTCAGGGAACGGCGAACTCACAGATCAAACCCTGCATGAAACAACCTCTGGGCTGATCTAAGTCAGGACACTGCTAACTCACAGATTGAACCCTGAAACAACCTCTGGGCTGGTCTAAGTCAGGACACTGCTAACTCACAGATTGAACCCTGAAACAACCTCTGGGCTGNTAACTCACAGATTGAACCCTGAAACAACCTCTGGGCTGGTCTAAGTCAGGACACTGCTAACTCACAGATTGAACCCTGAAACAACCTCTGGGCTGATCTAAGTCAGGGCACGTCTAACTCACAGATAGAACCCTGAAACAACCTCTGGGCTGATCTAAGTCAGGACACTGCTAACTCACAGATCTATCGAACCCTGAAACAACCTCTGGGCTGATTAAAGTCAGGGCATGGCTAATTCAAAGATTGAGTGCAACTGTATACTCTACTGTAGTTGCTGTGTGTAATAAATTAGATGTGATGTTGACATGGTTGGATGCATGGAATGGATAGATGTATGCATGATGAATGCAGGTGTGTCTTAAGGAGAATATATACAAGGTAAATAAACTTACCTTTACTGGATTTAGTAGGTGTATTATCAGTAAATGTCCCAATAAGATTGGTAGCTGATGCTACTTGTTGCTCCAGAGCTTGTTGGTGAGCTTTGGCATCCTGCATGACAGAAAAAATATTGAAAATGAAATGAATGCTGGAATGAGAAACTGGAAAAAACCTCTTAAAGGACAGGAGAGAACAAAAACTGAATTAGCGCATGATGGCGGGTCCACAGGGGATTGAACCCACAACCACACCCAGGAAAGGTGGCACAATAGCAGCGTGCACACCACTCAAGCTTTACCTTGAATGAATCTTGCAAATTTCCAAGTGGTACAAAATCCTCATCATTTTCATCAAACAACAAGGTTGGTTGAGTAGTATAGTGAGTACTGTAAGCACAGTGTTCATGCAGGGAGTTCAGCCATCGCTATATAATTGGAAAAAAAAATTTAAGATAAGAAAAAATAAAAGATAAGAGGTTGGTTGAGTGGTATAGTGAGTACTGTTAGCACAGTGTTCATGAAGGGAGTTCAGCCATCGCTATATAATTGGAAAAAAAAATTTAAGATAAGAAAAAATAAAAGATAAGAGGTTGGTTGAGTGTGTTATAGTGAGTACTATAAGCACAGTGTTCATGCAGGGAGATCAGCCATCGCTATACAATAAAACAAACAAACAACAATATAATCAAGAAATAATTTAGGTCAATTATTGCGATAGTACTGAGCCCAAAATAGTGGGGGAAGAATTGAGGTTTTTTTTCTTTTAGGGTGGCGTGAGTGGTGAAGAAATCAATTTCCTGCAACAATTAATCCAATGAAGTACTTTAATTAAAGCAACTTATACAGACAAGAAGAAAACCAATCCTCTCTAGCCCCCCTCCCCCACCCCAAACCATTGCATTAATAAGTAGGATCCTACCTGCCGCTGTACTTCTGGAGCTGTCTCATGTGATCCAATGCTCCATATATGCTGAGTATTATCTGAATATTCTATTTTGATTTTGTGCTTTTCTTTTCTTGGAACCTAAAAGAAAATAATCCTTTATCAGTGTACAATCCTTAATATCTGAGCCAGGAAATACCTGGGGGAAACTAATATTGGGCTCACACTATCTTCTGCTATCTTCTATTTTCTCTATCTTCTATAGAGAAGATTAGATTTGACTGTGAAAGGGCATGGCACAGTGTACAAGGCACAGTGTACTGCTTATCCAACCAAAATGCTTGGACATGATATCTATATGGTCAAGGCACAGCACAGCACTGCTCTGCACGGCAAGACACAGCAAAACATGACACAATGCAGTGTAGAATAGCACAGCATGGCATGGCATAACACGGCAAAGCATGACACAATGCAGTGTAGCATAGCATAGCATAGCATGGCATGGCATGGCACAGTACATATGTACCATGAGCTTTTTACAGTCATACAAAATCTAATCTATGAAAGGAACATGAACCCCCTTTTCACTATACTACAAGAAGACTGGAGTTATTCCATTTGTGCATAAAAATCATTCAATGAGTACGAAGAACTTACAGAAAACTTTGCATGGTCTAGATACTTGTATCCTTGTCTCTTGTGTCCTGAAGCTGCATCAGCCCTAAAGTAGGTGAAAAAAGTTATGTTACAAGAGGATGATAGTCGGGAGGGAATAATAAGGGTGAATCGGTCAAATGAGGAACAAACATAATAACAGATGCATGGACAGACAGACAAGACAGACAGACAGACGGACAGACAGACAGACAGACAAACACACAGACAGACAAACACACAGACAGACAAACACACAGACAGAAAGACAAATGAATTTTTGAAAGAATGAACATTATAAAATAACTGTTATGAATGTCGCGTTCTGATTGGTTTGGAGCGTGTGCTTTATGACAGCACACAGCATGTGCGGGCGTTTTCTATTTCTTCAAATGAATGAATGGAACAAAAAGAAATCAATAAATGGAATAGAATGAAACAAAATGAGACAAAATCAACAAATCTAAGAAGAGATCCAACAAACACTTTTCACATGTGATGCCGAGTTTAGGAATTGAATGAACCTCAGACCCCAGGGGCAGATCCAGGAATTTGTAAGGGGGTGTCCAAAATGAAGAAATATATATAGAGATATCATGCACCGCTTCAAAAAAGCGTAATAGCAATTACAGCGTTAGGGGGGTGTCTGGTGCACTGCAGGACACCCATTCCCTGGATCCGCCCTGCCCCTGGACCCAATAGGTTAGAGGTGTGTGCACTACCTGCTTGGCTGATCCGTCCTCCTACCTTTTATGATAGTATGAAAGTACTCCTCTCTCCAGTACAACCCAGTATTTTTTCCACCCAAGAAATCTTGACCTCTAAAAAATATATATTTTAAAATAAATAAATACGAAAGCAAACAAGTGTGATGAGGAGCAGGCAAACAGACATGAGGTCCCATATAGAGAATCAAAATGTTTGTACCCAAGGTAGACCAGAATGCTCTATGTCTATTGATTTAGGGAAGGACTATATCTTTGCACACATGGAAAAAGGGGATTTAAATAGGGATGCAAACAGCTTTGACTTACCCTCATCAGCATGCCTTCATGCCTTGGAACAACCTTGTGGATAGCCTTCAAATAAATGCACAAGTCATACTTAAATGATGAGGCACACAACAGCTAATGTAGTCAAAACCACATTAACCCAATATTGGGAAATTAGCACAAATCTTGTATTAATAATGGATGAGGATATAGTAATATATTAGTAATAGTATGGATGTTACATGTAGGTGTATTACAAGAGGGAGAGA